GTGAGATAAAATGATGGATGTCCTGGTTTCATCTCTGTTGCCGTGACAAAAAGCAACATGGGGAAGAGGGTTTATCTGGGTTAAGAAGTCCAGGTTACAGACCATCATCTCAGGAAAAGCAAGGCAGGAATTCAATCACATCACAGTCAAAGAGAGAAGCACAAAGAGAGTAAACACACCCTTGCTTCCAGCGAGACGTCTCCTCTTTTATGCTATTCAGGACCCCACCTGCCCAAGGAACAGCATATAATGGATAGGTCTTCTTACATCAATTAACAATCAAGATGTCCTCCACAGACATCCACGCAGACCATCCTGGTCTAGTCATTTCCTCACTGAGGCTCACTTCTCAGGTGACTCTATGTTGAGTCTGGTTGGCAGTTAAAACTAACCAGCACAACGAGGAAATATTCTTGAGCTGGGAGGGATTTCGAGTCAAGGCTTAGCAAGTGATTGTAGATGTTTCCTTGCTACTCAGCCATAGGTGAAGATTTCACTGTCGGAACCTCAAGGATATGCTCACAGCTTTCTCCTGGTCAAAGTGACTCTGAAGACAGTGGAGCATGCAGCTGGAACTTATTTCTAGAAATATAACATAGTTACAGTTCATGGCAAGCATATCATGTTACAACTGTGCTCTATTCAAAGAATATGAAGTCAGTTCATAGGCACCAAGACAAGTGCCAGTTAAGGGACATTCCCCGCTTCTGTGTCAGTCTGGGAAACCTTGTCCCAGCCAGCCACAGGTTGTGTGGACCAGAGAAGTGCAGGGCAGGGCAGGACATCTGGTTCATTCTTGGTACAGCAAAGGGACCTTTAGCACAGAAGTAAAAAGCACGTAGTAGCTGAAACAGGAGGATCAGAAATTTGAAGTCACCTATATAGTGAGTTGGAGACTAGCCTGAGCTGTATAAGATCTTGTCACAAAACAAAGCATGAGGTGGAAAGATGGCGCGGCAGCTAAGACTGTGGAGGACTTTTGCTGAGGACCCGAGTTCAGTTTCCAGCACCTGTATCATGTGCCTCACAAATGGCTGTGACATCTGCCCAGCTGATCTGATGTCATGCATGGCCTCTGAATTCTAGTGCACACAGCCCCACAGAGGCACACACAAACACATAATCTCTTAAAAAGTGAAACAAAACAACAAATAACAAAAATAATTAAACCAGCTAAAAGTCAACCATTTTTAATTAAAAAAAATTTTAGGGCTGAAGAGATGACTCAGAGGTTATGAGCACTGGCTGCTCTTCCAGAGGTCCTGAGTTCAATTCCCAGCAACCACATGGTGGCTCACAACCATCTGTAATGGGATTCGATGCCCTCTTCTGCTGTGCAGGAATATATGCATCCAGAACTCTCTCTATATATAAAAAATCTTTTTTAAAAAATTTAAACTTTTAATTGATTCTTTGTAAATTTCACACCACGCACCCCAATCCTACTCGTTCCTAATCCCTCCATGTTCCCCCTCTGCCCTTGCAACTCCCTCCAACAAAACAAAACAAAGAAATCTTACTGTGGAAGCTGCAGTGTGTCATGGTGTGTCTGTCACATAGCCTTTTGGCCAAATAGCTTCTCTTGCAAATGTTCATTGCAATGAGTCACTGGTCTGGTTTGGGGCCTCTGGCTTACTGGATTCTCACCAGTATTCCTCTTGTTGCTCTGTGTTATGGAGATCCTGCAGCTTTGATTCTGCAGGAATGGCCCCTTCACACACTCCAGCAGTTTGTAGATGGGGTAGATGTTGCGGTGGGTCAACTCAAAGCCCTGGATCTGGGCCTGGGTGGTAGCTGCGTTGGTCAGCCTGCCAGCTCTCTTGAACCCAAGCCACTGGAGCCAGCTCTCCAGCATTGCCCAAGTGAGGGGCTCAGTTCTTGGACACTAATGTGGCAGCCCAGATATAGACATCCACATGACTTATGTTGATAACACGGCCCATGGACATAGACACAGACCCCTGCTGCAGCAGGATCACAAACCCAGACGTAGCCTTTGGGCAACACAGCCTGGACATCACCATGGCTTCAGATGGCAGTGCAGGCTGCTTACCTCAGGGTTTCCTCACCTCAGGCTGTCCCTCACCTCAGGCTGTCCTTATATCAGGC